GCTACGCCGACTAAGGCTGGCCCTCTCGCGTCCGTTCGCTCCTCTGCAGGGACTCCAGGAAGTGCCGACGCAGACGGAGACTCCGATGATGGCGCTCGCAGCGTTGCCGCATCGCGACTGAGCCATGCAAGCGGCCTGACCAGAGGCAGCTTGGCTCCAGGATCTGGCGAGACTGCAGGACTCATTCGGGTCTTGTTTCAAATGTGTATGGCCTTTCGTCGGGTTCTGAACGTTTGCGGCCTATCCTCGTTGCCACCGTGAGCTGGGAATGTGCTGTATTGGGGGAGGGGGCCTGTCGCCTTTGGGGGTCGGCATGCGTCGGTTCGCCCTGGTCCCGAACTGGAACCATGCAGCGTTGGGCCTCGCACTCGTGGGAACAGCCCCTGCACGGTGGCCGTGCGGTGCTGCGCGGTGCCGAGCTCTCACGAGCGCGTTGGCAGAGTCTGCGTGCAAACCCGACCCCGCCAGGATGCCTCGAGAAGTGGAAGACCAAGCTCAACCTGGTTGCCATCATGACTGGCAAGCTGGATGGGCGCACCATGTCAGGGGCCAAGAAGGCGCTCGGGAGAATGAGGGCATCTTCCAACGAGCAGGCGAACCTGGACGCTGCGCTGATGGCGAATCTCATCAAGTTGGCGGAGTCTGCGGAGAAGTGCGCCCCTGAGTCCATCAAGGTCACGCCGATGAGCGAGCTCACGCCCCACATCGACAAGATGATGCAGGAGTCCGTGGAGTGGCCCGACGTCGTGCAGACCGCCCTGGTGACGAAGAGGCTGCAAGCCGTCATCGCCGAGAAGAACTGGAGCCTCGTGATCAAGATCGGCAAGCCGTGGGGCATGGGCGACGAGATGGCGTTCGACCCCAAGGCCCCTTGTGTGGCAGCGTGCGGAGAACAGATGTGCCACAAAATCCAGCTCTTCAACAAGGTCGTTTTCGAGAAAGTGTTCATCCAATTGATCCGCCAGGGGCCCGACACCGTGTCCGAGGTGATCAGCTTGGCGGCGCATTGCCGAGATGCCTTTGCTGACATTGACCTCGTGGAGGCGGAGAACGCGGTTGCAGCGGCCTTGGAAGAGTGGAACACGATCTGGGGCTGTCTCGTAGCTCTGGGCTCGGACGGCCTCCGCGGGCAGCATTTGGACAGTGGCCTTAAAGTGTGCTTTGCGCACGCACCGATTCGACACCCAACCGCCGCTAGCTACGATTAGCCATTCGTTTCCTGGGCTACACGTGCGTATGTATGATGTTTAGTTTTTGCGTATATATGTAGTGTCTACGGAGCTTGCGGCGTTTGGGTTGTCGGTGCCAAGGGCCGTTGACTGTTTTCCTCGGTGGGGGTCTCTTGGTCGAGGCCCACGGCGTGGTTGAGTAACGATGCCATGGCTTCGATGCACGGCTGCGCTCCCAAACCCTCCAGGACGACATGCTGTTGCTGAGTTCGCACATGGGCAAGACTTCGAGGACTGTGACTGCCTTGGTGGCTGCAGCAATTGAGGCCACTGACTTCTGGAACTCCAGGCTGCAGGGGTACGTCCGCTGCGCCAAGGATGTCAACAAGCTGGCGTCCCAGTACGACGACGTCGTCGCCGTCTTTGCCGCGCTGACCGATGACCCAGCGGAGTTCGTTCCGCGGGTGCAGGATGCAATCGCCAGGCTCGGCGAGTTCAAGGAGAAGCTGCCGCCTGCTGCCACTGCCAATCTGTTAGACACGGCGCTGGGAACCATCCTGGGCAAGAGCAAGGTCTTCATGGCCGCTTGTGCGACGCCCGACAATGTGAGCGAGAAGTTCATCCAGGATTGGCAGGCAGTGCTCTCCGAAGCAGTCATCCTCTATCCCATGGCCGAGGAGTTGAACCAGACGATGATGTCCCTCGGTGCGAAGTTGCGGGACATGGGACTCGCCGTCAAGCTGGCCGAGCTGACCAAGCAGATGAAGGAGATGGCCAAGTCGGCCGCCGCTGGCCTGGAGACGGCGTGGTTGCGAGAGTTTAAGCTGACTGAGTGCAACGCCATGGTCAACGCCATTCGCGAGCTCAACGTCCCCCGCGACCATGCGATTGCCATCGCGGCGGTCGGCCTGGCCGGCAATGTCGCAGAGTACGTGGCGATGGAGATCGGGAAGACCAACTTCGACAATGCCAAGCTCCGTGAACTTATCATTGCTGCAGAAGGGTTGACCACGCAGTGCGGCACGACCATCGACGGCGTGCAAGCCAAGGTGTCGATGATCAACAAGACTATCACGATCGACGGTCTGCTGCAGGAGTTGGCGGCCCACGGCTCTTGCATGGATGACAGGGCGACGGCGAACGACTTCGACCTGGTTGTGTCACTGGACAGGTGCACGAAGCAGCTCCACGAGCTCATCTCCGCCAGCGCCGATGCAGACCACCCCGCCGCTGCGAGTAAGATGCTTGACGACGCGACCAAGTTCCTGACTGAGCTGCACGGCGCCTACATCAAGAAGATCAAGGCTGCCCTCGAGGTCAAGCTGAATGAAATCAAGCCGCTGAACGGCGGCATGGACAACGGGGAGTACTGGGTGGACGCGTTCAGAGGTGAGACCTGGGCTGAGTTCTCGGAGCACGCGTCCAAGACCGTGCTGAAGGCGGACCCCAATGCGCTGGTCGATGCGACGTCTGGATTGCAGCAGGCGGTGCCAATCGAATTGCGCAACGTTGATGGTGCCCCCATGTCGCCACCGCGCTCCCCAATGCAACGCGTTTTGGGTTGTTCAGTTTCTCGCGTCCTGGGTGTCCGCGGTCCGCTCTTCCTCGGGGGGCCGCTATCGCGGCGAATGCCCCCGCCTCTCGCCATCGCCCCACCCTTGCCCGCCCATCGTCGCCCCCAAGGCGTTTCGATCAGTGACAGGGGGCACCATCATCGATGCCACTCTCGGTTGGAATCCCTGAGACCCTGGATCTTTATGAGAAGTATTGCGACACTGCGATGGTCGAGAAAGAGGCTGTCGTCGTGGACGACGCCAAGCAGCAGATCTACGGAGCCCGCCGCATCAAGTTCCAGGGCGTCCTGATGTACCATTTCCGGAATGAGAAGCAGGCCGCGGGCCTGCGCACCAAGGTGCAGGGCGAGATCAGGGAGGTCCGCAAGTATGTGCAGGACTACCAGCAGCTCCTGCCCGCCCTCCTCGCCAAGATGGTGAAAGACGCCTTGGCCATGAGGGTCAAGTTCTGAGGAGGCGGTGGAGGAGGAATGTACGCGGGAGTGGGATGAGGATAGCAAGGACCCCCCCACCCCGTTTGGCCAACCACATGGTTCCCCGCCAACCGCCCCCCACCACCCCATCACAGACCGCCCCCATCCAGAGCCCTCATCCTCCTCCTGGGGTCCAGCTCGCAGCCAGGCATTCGACCCGCTCGGACGGGCCAGCCTGCGAGACAGGAGAAAGTGTCAGAGCGTGAGGGGGAGTCGAGGCGGTGGGAAAGATAACACGGCGACCAATCATAACAACAAAAAAACACGCAACCTAACCACTTTTTTCTCGGTATTCATCTACCTCATGTCATCGCCCCCTCGTCCTCCATTCGTGTCCTCATTCGCCTCCCTGTCTATCCTGATGATTGTCCTTGTCATCGTCCTTGTCTCAAGTTTCCCCATCGTATCCCTGACTCGCTTCGTCTTCCATCGGCCCCTTCCTCGTTATTCAAGCGACTGGTTCCATTCTGCCAACCACCATGGCAGCTCATGGGTTCGGCAAGGGTCGTGCCACGTTGCCTGGCCTGTGGGTCAGGAGCCTCGGGGGTGCATGCGAGGGTATCGTGGGATGCTTCTCGTGGGCCTCTTGGAGGGCTATCGCTGGCACCTGGATTGTTGTTGGAGGCTTCGCCATGGCACGACACGTAGCAGCACAACATACAAGAGCCATATTGGAGCCGTTAATCAACTCCTGCTCACATCCAGGCCCGAGCAACCACAGGAGGCCAACCCAACCTCACCTCTTCCATATCACCAGCTGTCCCATGACGGGGGCAGTTGATGATGTGGAAGATGAGTTAGGGCGCTAGGTCGCATCGTCTCCTCTCCTACTCTAGTTTACGTCGTCCTCTATCGCGCAATCTACGTAGCCCCCCTGGCGCGCCCGCTAAATCGTGCTTTCACCTGCTCAGCCGTGCAACGCCGCGGTCCCCACCGCACTCTCATGATGGCTCGACCTGGCCCGCGCGTCATTGGGCTGTGCCCTGTCACGCTTCCTACCGCTCATTGTGTCATCGTGCATTTTCCTAATTGCCATGGCAACTCTCACTATGCTATCATACCCCGTGCGCCATTGCAACGCGCCGCCCAAAAGTTATCCCACGGGGGCCTAACGCGGCCCAAGGGGGCCCCAAGAACGGCCCAAGTGAAATACGAACTGCCATTTCAAGACCTTCCCGCCACGATGGCCCCAACAGCCACCCAAGGACCCCCTGGGCGCCCCGCGGAAGGTCCCAGAGGCTTCCAAAAGGCACCCAATCCAGAGGCTCCCAAAAGGCCCCCGAGAAACGATGGGTTTCTTCCTTCGGTGCTGCGCGGGCCGTTCCGATTGTTCGGTTCACGCGCGCGTGGCCCGTCGCATCCTGACGCTGCGCGGCGGGCCCCGTCGCGGACGATGTGATTGAGGCGTTCGCTCGAAGCCCACATTCCATGAGAGGCCCCCCCCGCAGTTCCAGGCGCGCGGCTGCAGTTGCGTTTTGCGCCGCCCTTTCTCTGGGCGCGGGCTCCCGCATTTCGGGATCACGTGACCAATTTCTGCTGTTAGTTTCGTGTTTGTTTTCGTATGGCCGCAATACCTATTTTTGAGTTATTTTTTTGTTATCTCGGACTTTTCGCGGCGTAGAGCCCTCAGCAGGGCATCCAACATCATAATGCTAGTGAGAAGGTTGTTTTTCTGCTCTCTACTGCTGGCCGAGGCCGGGAGGGTCTGTGCTCCATCCTGGGGCCGAGGGCGGCCCGGGCTAGGGACGGTGGTGATGTGCAGACGCCATTCTCTGCGGAATAAGGAGACGTGGGCTCTGGGCTCCTGGTGCGCATCGGGCTGAACTCTGGCAAGATCCGCGCTGGGGTGGTCGGCCTGGCCGCGCCGCGCTACAAGCTGGTGGGGGACACCGTGAACACGGCGAGCCGCATGGAGAGCACCTGTGTTCCGGGGCGGATCCAGTTGAGCCCGACCACGCAGGAGAGGCTCACCGACGGCCTTTTCGTGATCGAGCCTCGTGGCGAGGTGCCTGTGAAGGGCAAGGGCACCATGGTGACCTCGTTCCTCAACGGCTACATCGGGGGGTCGCACTGGCCGCGCGAGGTCCAGCAAAGCAGTGATGAAGCGTCCCTGTCTGCTGGTAGGCCTACTATGAGCCAAACGCCCATCCTATTTTTTTCTACACTTCGTATTGCTACAGGCTACAGTACGGGCTCGACACTCTGAAGTCGCGGGGTTGTTCTCAGATGAGTCTTTGTTCTAAGAACTCTTCTTCGTGGCAGGCCTATCAGCAGGCGGACATGCTTGGTCTCCGCTTGGTGCAGGTCCACCTTATCCACTCCAATTTCGGGAGGCGGGGCAGCTTGGATGGTGGCATGTCGATGCCGGGGATGTCCCGTGGCCCGTCTCTACTCTCCTGGATCGACGAGGGCTCCCATGAGATCACCCATGCCGCCGAGGAGGCATTAGACATCAAGAAATGGCCCTCGCTTGCCCAGCGGCACGCATCGTTTGTCCAGTGGCACGCAATATGGCGGCACCTGGCGCCCGATGACGACGCAGACACGACCAAGCAGAAGCCTATGAACAACATGTCGATTGACCAGCTGCTCCTTCTGGCATCCGAGGGGCAGAAGCAGCCGAAGCGCCTGGCGCTGCTGATTGAGGACCTGCCTCGGTACCTCGCCGACAGCCTCCCGGCGAGGATGTACGGTGCCAGGGTCCTGACCATCGGTTGGCTGCTGTTCATGACTGCAATCTCGGTGTTCGATATCTTCATGCAGGAGGAATCGCGCCAAACCCTCGAAACCATGCTGGTCCGCTCCGTCTGCAACCACATGGTGGGCCTGCTGTACCTGCTCTTCATCGCGAGCGGGGACCACGAGGAGCTGTGGCTGCAGGGGTGGACCATCGTGATGCTGCTGATCCAGGGCGGGTCGGTGCTCTTCGGCAGCAGCCTCGCTTTCAAGAGCGAGCCCACTCTCGTGGCCCTGTACGGTGTCTGGGTGCTGTTCTACTCCGTGTGCACTATCCTCCAGCGTCTAGCCATATCCGTCATCGCCGTCGCCAGCTTCATGGTGTTGGAGCTGGCGCGCTGCGACGACACGGAGCGGTTCCAAGGCGTGTTCGAGAAGTTCGTGGGTAACGTGGTCTTTCTTATTGCCTTCTTCGTGTTCATGGCTTGCAGCGTACGGCTGAAAGAGTTCCTTGGGCACGTCGCGAACTATGACCACTGCTTCATCGACAAGCAGCTAGAGAAGATGGACGGGGCCAGGTCGGCGAGATCACAGCTCCTGGCGAGCCTCCTGCCCGAGCACGTAGCGGAGAAGGTCTTGGAGGGGGTCTCGCCCATCGCTGAGCCCTGCGAGCAGGTCACCATGCTGTTCACCGACATCAAAGGATTCACCGCCTACGCCGCGGACCTTGCACCGCAGGATCTCGTGGACCTGCTGAACTCGATGTATTCCGCGTTCGACGAGATCATCGTGAGCTGGGAGCTCTACAAGGTGGACGTCATAGGCGACGCCTACTTTGTGACGGCAGGGTGCCCCCCTTCCGAGTCCCTCGAGGACCGCGTGGAGCCAGAGGAGTGCGCCATGCGGGCCGTGGAGGTGGGCCTTGCCATGCTGCGGACGCTACCCACGCTGCCCTGGGGCAGCGCCGGCACCCAGCTCGACATGCGGGTGGGGCTGCACACCGGCTCGGTGGTGGCCGGGGTGGTCGGCAAGAAGGGCCCGCGCTACCACCTCTTCGGTGCCGCCGTCGGGTACGCCAACCAGATGGAGTCGACGGGCCAGCCTGGCCGGGTCCACATCAGCGACGACACGTGCGAGCTGCTGCGGGCCGGTGGGTACAGCTACGAGTTTGAGGAGGCGTGGGTGGAGGTGGAGGGGCTGCAGGCCACGGGCGACGAACATGTCCACAGCCAAGCCCTGGGGGCCTGGAGACCGAGGCGCGATACCGTGGATGCGTTCCGCGCGCGGCACCCGCATCAGGGCCGCCCCGCACCCGTGGGGATGCCTCGCGGCCCAGGGGATCTCCAGGCTGGGGGGGGCGTGGGTGTGGATGTGCTCACCGCCCCCGGGCGGCAAGGAGAAGGCCCGGACCTGGCACGTGAACCGGAGCAAGGACCGTCCACACGTCAGGGCGGCCCTTGGCTGGAGTGGCCTCACGTGCGCGGCTACTAAGAGGCGCGGGAGGGGGGGGGTCTGAGCGCGCGGGCCGCCCGTGTCGCATCGCACGCAGCGACCTGAAAGCGGCGCACCAGAGGCCAATCGTGCCGAAGGTCACTCTTGCAGACGTCCAGCGTCATGAGCTTGTTCAATGCGGGCCCTCCTGCAGGCCCGACCCTTTCCGCGGGGGTGGCTGCCCCTGCATCGTTTCTGGACGGTCCTGGAGCCCGAAGCCGGCCTCCGGCGGCCAAGAACGACACGCAAACCTCTGCCTTGATTTGTGCAAGACGCTGGATGCCTGGGCCCGCATGCTGCCGGCGAGGACAACGCCGCGCAGAAGATCCAGACAGGGCTCCTGCGGCAGCGGGCCAAGAGGCTCTGGGCCTTCCAAGGGGGGTCCGAGTAGATGGGGTCGGCAGCTTGCGCCGCATCGCCGATGCATCGGGGATGCAGCTCGATGTGGAGCCCGACTTTCTCCATGCAGGCGTGTCCGATGCACCCCAGACTCATCGCCGATGTATCGACGCTGCGGTGCGAGCCTCCGACACCATCTACTTAGACCCCTTCTCGGAGGCGTCTAGGCAGGGCTCCGAGTTATTTGGGCAGAGTGTGATCAGGGATACACCTGATTCGGGCCTCCCGTTTTAGCGCCAGAGTGATCCCAGATTGCACTCAACTTTTTCCCAGATCGCATTCTACCCCATGCCGGTTTTGTTCCGGATTTCCCCCTGAAGCAGAAGGTAGTCTGGACCAGACCAAGCGGTTCCAGGATCTTCCGACTCCGCGTTTGGAGACGCCCAACAGGGCCTTACCCTCGACGTGCACCTTCTGCGCCGAAGGCGACGCCGCGGTGCGGCCGCGGCGGCCGCCGTTTTGCGGCGTCGACGTTGGCCGCCGCTGCGGCCCGCGGCGGCGGGAGCGCGGCGCCTGCTGGAGGGTGCGGAAGGTGCAGGTCGATGGGGTCCCAGGGCACGACTCGTCTGGAGATAATGTGGGTGCCCACTCCCCGAGGCGCGGCTGCCCCGACCCCCTGGCGCCCACGTCGCCGCCCCTGGGCTCGCCCCGCCGCACGCGGGCCAGCAGGGCCTTCTCCGTCGGGCACCGCGGGGCCACCCTGTCCGCTCTGTGAGGCCTCGCCCTCCGCGCGCGGGGGCGCCGCCGCCGGCGGCCGCCCGCGGCCGCCCGCGGCCGCGGAGGCCGCCGCCGCCCGCCGCCTGCCGCCTGCGGCCGAGAGGGCGGGGCCGCGGGGCCGAGCGGCCGCCCAGCGGAGGGGCCGCGGCGGCGGCGGGGCCTCGCTCCAGTGGCCGCACCGTGTGGTGCGCCCAGCCCCAGGCCCTGGAGCGGGCGGCGCGACACGCCAAGCAAAAGGTCCCGACCGTCGTAACTGTTGGGATCGAGCTAAGTGTAGTATAGCCAGGGGAGTTATAGCGGATCAGCTCACGTAACTGGTTTTTCCAGCGCCTCCCGGCGCGGGCGGAGCCTGTGCATCGATGAAAGCGCCCGGCGGTGGGGCTGAAACCAGCTGCAAGCAGCCGGCTTCGTAACCCTCCCTTCCCCATGTCCCCTTGCCCTTGCCCGGAGGTGTTGGCGTCGTGAACAGTCAGGGCGGACGGGGTTCTCGAAGTTTTCGGTCTGTGGGGGCCTCCGCCGGGCCCCGGGAGCAGCAGAAGACGACCTGGGATGACGAACCGGCCCCGGGGAAGGCCGATACCGCTAACCCCGCCTCTTGGGGGTCTCCCGGTAGTCGCAAACTCCTGGCCAGAATGCGCCCCAGGTCCAGGGAGGAACCCTGGGAGGTTTTTAGTTTTGAACGCCCCTCCCCCTTTCTCTTGAAGGGTGAAAGAAGGGGTCTGCAACACGGAGCCTTCGATTGGGGCTGAATGGCCCATGTATGCTCAATCTACAGCTCATCTATGTGATCGGGTACGATTGGCATCCAATGTTGGCGGTCGTGGAGGCCAGTCGTTCGTGCCCGCGCGCTGCCCGCGCGGGCAAACGCGCCGTCCACCCATCATCGTTCATGCGTGCGGGCGTTTTTGCGTATCGCGCGTGGGGCGGCGAAGTGGAGTGCAACTGTCTTGATTGTGCGATTGATGGTCGCGTATATTCTCAAATTATTACTTCTCGACCCCCAAGGCAAGTTTGGAATGGGCCCCACGATTTTCCCAAAATGCGAATTCACATTTCCTTTTTTTTTCCAAGATGTGATTTCACATATTCCTTTTCCCCAAGTGTGAATTCACATTCTGGCCCCTTCTTCAATATTCCTAAACAGAATTCCAACATGTTAACTCACATGTTCTTTTCCCCCCCCAGCCGGTGAATTCACATTCTCCTTTTTTCCCAACGTGTGAATAGACGTTTTACTTTTCCCCACAAGTGAGTTCACATTTTGCCCTGGCAATCAATATCCCCAGAACTGAGGCGCAATGTTCTGCGTGTTAAATTGGCTGGGCAGATGTTGACACTCACCTCACCGCGTTCGTTTTTTTTCCCAACTTTTTGTTGCGCCCTCAGCGCACGTTGCCTTCGTCGTCTTCCCCGAGCGCCCCGCCTCCTTGCTTCGTTTACCCTCAAGTTCCGCGCGTGGGTGCAGGCGGGGAGCTTCAAGTGGCTCCCCCGCCAAACACACCAATCGAGGATTTATCGCCCATGCATGGCCCATAGAGACACCATTGCCGGGACCCCGCGCCCGACCCCCACTTTCACCCTCCAATTCTCTCTGAGGTGGATAGGACAGGTCATACAACCTCTTCTTCCTCCTCCTCCTCCTCCTCCTCCCCTGTATCTTCCTCGTAGCGGTGGCGGTGCCGCATTTGTGGTTTACCCCACGGCGCTGTCCGCCTGCCGCGTCGCCCGCTGGCAGGGTGAGGCTCTTTTCTCCGCCGTGCTCCCCTGAATGAATCTTGAGAGCAGTGTTTGGTTTCGCGTGGCTCCTCCTGTCGCACATGATGGGGGCCTCGTTTACCCTTGCAATGCCGTCTTGGGAATGCCCTCGCGTCGATTTGCGTTGGGGAATCGGTGGGGTAACGCAGATGTGGTGTTGACTGGCCTCGATTTAGCATCGGCTAGCATCGGTTCGTGCCGATTTGCCAGAGCCAACAGGGTGGATTGGAAGGTTCCCATGAGTGGCCACCGAGCCGTAATGTGAATTACGTTTCGGATTATGTACTGCGTCAGGACAATCATGGGAGATGAGTCAACTTCTTGTGTGTGTCTGTCCATTGGTTTGAAACGCATGCAACAAATCAGGACGGGACGCTCTTTCCTGTGTCCGGCCTCATGCGGCCCTCACTGGGCCCGCGGGACCATACCATCAACTACTCAGGATGAGAAGCCGGCCCTTGGGACAGGGTCGGGATCACTCCCAGGGCTCAGGTTTTGGAAACAGATGGACGTTGGAGGAGCTCTGGGTGAGGCCCTCAGATCCAGGCCTCGCACACATAATAATGACGGCCGGTGTTTCTACGTGATTACTCGGCCTCTGGCGGCAGTCCTCCGGCATCGTGGGCCGCCAGCGAAGCGATTTTTTTTTCAGCTCAACGCCCGCACGGCCTAGGTGAAAAAAGGCACAGCAGCGGCGGTTGGGAAACCACTGCTGGCACTGAGGGAGACCTCACTGACCGAAAGGGGGCTAGGAGGCACTGGCCACACGACGGGCGACCGCCCCGTGGCCAGAGCAAGAGAAACACAGTCCAGCGCCTCAGCCGGGCATGCGGTCGGGGAGGGCAATTCCTCCCCCGCGCCACAGGGAAAACATCACCTCACAGCCGTGCGACAGGGGGCGAGGACACCACTGGGCAGTGAAAAGGACGACGATCACCCTGCGCCTCGGATGATCGCCGCCGCCCGCGCGCGCAGCGCCCGCCGCCACTCCTCTTCCTCCACGTCGTCCGCGAGATGGCTGTCGGGGGGGCAGGAGCTGCAGCCCCGGCACAAGCAGCTCCACCAGGAACCGCCGCGGCAAGGCGCACAGCCTCCACGGCGGGCGCCGCGCGGCGCGCGGGGAGCTGGTCGGCCCAGCTGTCGTCCTGCAGGGGCGAGGTCGGGGCCACGAAGCCCTCGACCTGCGAGCCCGCGGCAGCAGCAGGCGAGGGCGGCGGCCCGCCCGAAGCGGCGGCAGCAGCAGCAGGCTGCTCCGCCGCAGGGGGCGGCGAAGGCCGCACCAGGCCGTCGGCCCAGGCGTCTTCGAACATCGCGTTGTCGTCAGCGGCCTCCACGGCGGCTCGAACAGGCCGAGGGCCCGCTCCAGCAGCAGCAGCAGGACCCGTCACGACTGCGGCGCCCTCGAACGCCGCGCCAGCAGCAGGGAGCGCCTCCGCGGCACGCCGCTCCGCGAGGCGGCGGCGTCTGCGCCTCCGCCGCTCCGCCTTGGCCGCGGAGGCGGCAGGCGGTGCAGCAGGAGGCGCGCGAGCATCAGGGGCAGCAGCAGCGTCACGCGCGGCCGCCGCCGTCGGCGCGTCCCCGCACGCAAAAAGCGTGGCGGAGATAGCCGACCGCGCGACGGCGGCGACAGTGCGCCGCGGCGCCTCGGCGGCGACCGCGGCCCAGACGGCGGCCTCGACCAGGGAGGTGCCGAGCTGGGCCGAGGGAGCCCCTCTAGGCCCCGACATTCCGCAGCCGCGCCTCGCCGAGGAGGGGGCGCGCGCGGGCGAGGCCATGAAACCGCTTGAGCCAAAATGGCTACGGACGCCAGCGAAACGACCCAGGATTGAAACATTTGCCAGCGAACGGAGTCGAGTCCCCAGGGGGGCCACATCACCGTCCAAAAGCGGAGGTAATTAGTTTCGCCCCGCGCTGGCGTGGCGGCGACCCCAGCGCGAGTTGTCAAGGTTGAACGCCGCCAATAGCCTGGAAGGGGCTGATGTCGAACGCTTTGCGTTTTCGGAAAACCGTGATCGTTCAAGGTTCATCTGTCCGCGCAGTGTCAGAGACCCTTGCCGACGCGATCGCGACGCGACCCCACTGTCGAGAGCTCCAGTAGTCGAAGTGGAAATATGTCTATATCCACCGCCAGTCGAGGTCTCCAATCCAAAGATCGACCCTCCAGGAGAGGAGGAAGAGAAGGAGGGGGATGGGGGAGGAGGAAGAGGAGGAGGAGGAGAAGGAGGAGGAGGAAGAGGAGGAGGAGGAGAGGCAAGACGAGGAGAAATTCTAATTTTCTAGTGCTGGTGGGACCCCCGTCCGTCAGCAAGAGCGTCGAAAGGATGATTCGTTTCCGCTATTTGGGGGAGGTTCTAAAAGCCTATCTTGGTTAGGAAGAAATCCCCGCGTTGCAAAACAAAATGCTCGCTTTCGGCGCGCCTCGACCTCGGCGGAAGGCGAGGTGGACGTTCCAGTACGCCGGGGGCCCGCTGGCGGATGGACGGCGAGCGGCGGCCGACGCGGAGGCAGGCGTCGGCCGCGCCAATGTTTCAGAGGCGGTCAGGATGCGGATGCCGACGCCCCCCTTCTCCATCCCCCTCCCCCTCGCCCGGTTTCGCAGTGCTGCCTTTCCTGGGCGGAGGGGGTCCTGGGCCGCCGCGGGCACGTTCGCCTCGAGATCCTGGTCGGGACGCGCACCGGGAGGTCACGTGTGACACTCGGTGTGCCCAGGCTTCGGGGAGCCGTAGAGAAGATGAAGATTAGGATGAGAATGAGGTTGATGGTGATGATGATGCTGATGCTGAGCTGATGCTGATGATGATGATGATGATGATGATGATGATGGTGATGGTGATGATGATGATGGTGATCAGGTTGCTGCTGCTGATGATGCTGCTGATGATGATGGTGGTGATGATGATGCTAATGATTCCGATGATGATGATAAGGTTGATGATGATGGTCATAATGATGATGCTGCTGATGATAATGCCGATGACGACGATAATGATGATGGTGATGCTGATGCTGATGATGATGATGATGGTGATGGTGATGTTGATGGTGCTGAGGTTGATGCTGATGGTGATGCAGCTGATGATGCTGATACTGATGCTGATGATGATGTATGATGATTATGAATTATGATGCTGGTGATGATGGTAATCATGATGCTGCTGCTGCTGATGATGATGATGATGATGAAGATGATGATGCTGCTGATGAGGATTAATCTGATGATGATGATGATGATGATGATGATGAGGATGATGATGACGATGATGATGATGATGATGATGATGCTGATGACGGTGATGATGATGATGCGACGATGATGATGGCGGTGATGATGATGATGATGATGATGGTGGTGGTGGATGATGATGATGATGATGATGATGATGATGATGATGATGATGATGATGATGATGATGATGATGATGATGATGATGATGATGATGTGATGATGATGATGATGATGATGATGATGATGATGATGATGATGATGATGATGATGATGATGATGATGACGATGATGATGATGATGATGATGATGATGATGATGATGATGATGATGCTGATGATTCGATTCGATTCGATTCGATTCGATTCGATTCGATTCGAGGCGGCTGAAGGCGACCCTGATTTCACATAGGCAAGGAAGCAGGCGACGCAGGGCGGGGTCTGCAGGGTGCGCTGGCTCGGTGAGTAAGCACATGCACATGCATATGGGGAAAAAACACCACGTGGGTTGAAAGCCTCGGGCCTAACATCTGGGACAAGATAAGAGTTGAGGGCGCCAGCTTGGGGCTCTAGATATGGAAGCGCCTGTGCAGGGCGCTGAAGTGAGTTGAAATGGTCCCCAGTCCAGCAGGCAAGTCAACGAATTTTCTACACATCTCTTGACTTTCCTGGCCGTGCTGGGTGACTATGCGGATGCTCCCCTTGCGGAAGCATCCGCGGGCTTCTAGGGTGAAGCCGCCTGGGGAGGTGAGCTGTGCGCGACCGTTCTCCAGGTTGTGCGCTCCCGTGGAGCTGCTTGGAGCCGTTGCCGAAGAGATTGACCCTGGCGGTAGACTTCCCTGGACCGAAATTGATTGTGAGACCGAGGAGCGACGCCATTGTGCAATGGATCTTTATGTGTTGAACCATTATCGGAGTAACAAAGAGGTTCGACAGATGCCATCTAAATTAGAAGGTGCGTCAATTGTATTGTTCATTCACATCACCAAACACATTCATTTACCAGTCCCGAGCTGGTCAAGTATCTGCTGGGGCCCGCCGCACTCTGACTCGAGGAAGTCAGGGACGGCGTCATTGACGTTCACCGTCAACCTCGGTGTTCGTGGTCTCGTGGAGGTCCGCCCTGGGGTCGAGGGCGGTGGCCCAGGGGATAGCGACGTGGTGTGGGGTCTGAAGCTCGAGGCTGGTGCCAGCTTACCGGAACCGCAGCCGCGCGAGGCCCAGTGCAAGCTTGTAGGCCAGATTCAAGCAGAGCGTGCCCAACCGACAACCTTGGCGGGCCCCGCGACGAGCGAGGACCGCATCATGCTCCGCCCGACGGACGGCGAACCAAGTGCCAGTAGGCTAGTCAGCGTTCTGCCGGACATCCTCCGGCGTCATGCCCACCTGCTCCAGCAGAGGCGGTTGCGTCTCGAGGTAGGCCTTGGCCTCCTACGCGACAGGCGCGGGGATGCCAGTTCGCTGCAGGTCCGCGGAGAGGTCTGACAGCTTGCCCCAGCCGACGCCGTAGAGGTACTCGCTGATGATGGAGTCGAACGCCTAGGCCAAATCCGGAAAGACCAGTGACCAAGATCGGCGCAGGTGGAGGGCGCGCTCGATGAACGTTTAGATGTCTGCGGTGAGAAGCGTGGTATCCCTCCACGGCATGGAGTCGCACTGCGCCGGACCCAAGCCGTTGGGAGCCGGTCGGAAGACCAGCTCGATGACCAACATGCAGAACCGCTTGGATAGGTGGTCGGAGACGAGGATGCCGCGGCTTTTGCATCACACTGCAGGGTCGCCCTTCTGCTTCCAAATCTCCCCGAGCTCCCCGCCTTTATCGCGAGGGGGGCCTGGGCAGCGCCAGCCGACGTGCCGAACAGCTAGATCACGATATCCAGCGTGGTCTCTCCCACAGCTTTCCAACTGAGCGCGCCGATTTCGCCGACATTGGCGCGTAAGCTGCTCGCGTAAGGTCGCGCGTAAG